CTGATGCTTGTACCGCCCCCCCATCTCCATCTTTATTTCAGCAAACATGTCCTGACCGAAGACATCTTGCACCGGGAGGTGACGCCAGACCAGAAGCTGCTCTCCCGGCGGCTCCTGACCAAGACCAACAGGATGCCGCGCTGGGCAGAGCGCTTCTTCCCCGCCAACGTGGCCCACTCCGTCTACATCTTGGAGGACTCGATCGTGGACCCCAAGAACCGCACCATGACCACATTCACCTGGAACATCAACCACGCGCGGCTCATGGTGGGTGCTCGTGGGGCGGCGGGCGGGCGGCCGGCCCCGGGCTGCGCTCACGCCAGCGCTCGGCTTCGTGCAGGCGGTGCAGGAGCGGTGCGTGTACCGGGTGAACCCCGAGAACAGCAACTGGACCGAAGTCAAGCGAGAAGCCTGGGTTTCCTCCAGCCTGTTTGGTGTCTCACGGGCTGTCCAGGTGGGTGCCCACACTGAGCAGCGGGATGGTCCTCTGCTCTCCCCCGCCCCATGCTATTTGCCTCCTCTTCCTCATTGCTCACCCAGCCCTCGTGAGCTTGTGGAGCCCTGACCTGTCACTGCAGTGACTCTCTGCTGCAACATAGCACCTGAGAGCCACCAGCTGTTTGGGACAAATTGAGCCACAGCTCGAGACAGCACATTCATAGGAATCAGGGTTTGCATCATCACAGATTCTTTTGTTGCAGGAATTTGGTCTGGCCAGGTTCAAAAGCAATGTGACCAAGAGCACTAAGGGATTTGAATACGTGCTAGCAAGAATGCAAGGTGAGTAAGTGGGGCTGAGCCCTGGCTCTCTAGGTCAGGTCGGGGTAACAGGCCACACCAGCTCACCCCAGTTGTGGGCAGGTTGTGGCTTAAGCTAAACTGGCCGGATGAGAAATCCCTATCCTCTGCCCGCTGTCTTGGCACAACGTGTTCTTCCTGAGCAGAGCAGCCAGGCAGCAGAAGAGTCCCAGCCTCTTCAGGGGGCTGTTGTGAAGCTTGGTGGCGGCAGTGTCGGGTGTGGGAAGGAGGGAGGAAGTAGTAAGGCAGTCACGTGCCTGCAGTTCTGCTTGGTGACGTGCCCCAGCGCACGGAGCTGGGTGTCACGAATAGAGTTCACCTTCCCCCACAGCACAGGGAAACATCCTCTGTCCCAAGAGGCAATAAAGCTTGGGCTTGTCTAGCTTGCGTCAGCCACGCGCTGCGGCAGCCCTGCCAGGCCAGGGCAGGGCGGGGACTGCTGGGTTAAGTTAACAACTTACATATTACAGGAGAAGCTCCATCCAAAACACTGGTGGAGACAGCCAAGGAAGCAACTGAGAAAGCCAAGGAGACAGCTCTAGCTGCTACAGAAAAAGCCAAGGACTTGGCCAGCAAGGCAGCGACCAAGAAGAAGCAGTATGTGTGAGCAGCTTGGCACAGGCAAGAATCAAGCCTGCACCCCAACAGATAGGAGCCTCTTAGATTTTATATTTTTAAACTGTACAAGTCTGACAATCAGCTGCTGTTAGATCATTTCTAAGATGTAATTATCATTAAAGAATCTACTTCCACCTCTGACTTTGCCTAGGGCTGGCTTATCTGGAACAGAGCCGTGCGGAAACCTCTGCTTCGGGGGCTGCCGGCGCTGAGTCCAGCAGAGCTGCTGTGCTAACAGCGCGCCAGGCACGCAGGCAAGATGCAGACACAGGTTTAGCCAAGTGCATTTACTAGAATAGTGTCAGGTATATACAAGGTTGCGGGGGCGAGCTGCTTAACGCGCCGGGCTCTCGAGGGGCGGCAGGGCCGGCCGGCACCCCCGGCGGGCGGGCTGGGCCCTG